CTCAAATATGGTGAGGTATGCAACGTTTGCAGTGAACGTGTTAGCTAGCAGTGTGAGCGGTGTGTAACAAGAACTTGGGCAGATTGGGTGCCATCCAGCTTGGGCAGATTGGGTGCCTTCTGGTCATGTTTTGTAGTTGTACCCAGGGCCTATTGGTTAGTCTGATGGGAATGTGGAAGGGTATGTTTTGCATTTCGAAATGAGTTAGGTTTATATTCCGCTTTTACCTGCTCAGTTTTTTTACCTTGTTTATATATACTTTTGGGAAGTACCATTTTTAGGATCAGAAGAAATCGCGCGATCTGTTAGATTGAAAATTCGGTATTACTGAAATGTACTTACACTTCGTATGAGGGCTTTTATGCGGTGCATTCACGATTTAACTGGCATATGTGTACCTCTGGACAGCCTGACCATTTACTACCAGCAGCTTCATTGCAGAGAATTCGTTTGATCAAAATCATTGTCCTTGGAGGAAATTGTGGTTTCACGCACGATACGTTGAAGTTCGACTCAGTTGTTTCATTAATTCACTACTATCGAAGGAATTCATTAGAGGAGTACAATCGACAATTGTCAACGGTACTTTTATACCCGCTGCGGAAGCCGAATTTTGAACGGACCTCTTGGGTAAGAGTTGTGCCTTGTTCTGGTCAACTTGAAAGATAGTATAATTTCTTTCTGTTTGAAACTTTTCCTGTCTCTTTGTTTGAAACTTTTCGTGTCTTTTTTGGGAAAGAGCGAAATGTTGATCTGTGATCCAGGTCGGTGGCATTTTCGCTAAATATTCACTGATAGGGTTGTCTTGTGCGGTATTATGATTATCGGATATAATGAATTGTAGCTAGAAGCTACTGCTGTTAGATCAGTTACAAAGGGAATTAGTCTTCTTGCCACGGAAATACGCGGATAGAAGTTGACAAGTGATTAAGTGCACCAAGTAAATAAAGCGGAAAATGAGTGCTGCCTTACAGATTTATAGTTTGTTGCTTCTGCACAATCCAGTTAAAGTTCAGCTGTTACATTTTCTTGCGTGCGAAATGTGGACGTGCTCTGAAGATTTTAAATGAGCCACGGAGAACCTTGCCTTCCACGCAGTAAGGACTTCACTTATCTTCATTTCAAAACGAACCAACGGAGCGACAGCATTACTGAAACTCTTGTCCACCTCCTTCGATCTCGACACAAGAACCATCAAATCCTCGATTTCAGTATCGATTCTTGCAGACTGCGAGAACCTTCACAGCTCTACAAAAGTGTGCTGTGTATTGCTGTTAACTATAGTTGTATTTTTGCAGTTCTTCATGATAATGGTAACTTTTGTCTCTAATCTGATTCTCACTTACAGAGTTACAATTGCTGATAGAAAATCGACCTCAGGAACTCGGCAAAAGAGAACTTTTACTTTAGTGAAGAGGAAAAAAAGCTCCTCCACAAGTAAAGAAATAGCTTTCCTCTTTTTGACATTTCTAAATCAAAAAAGTCAAAACTCTGCTCCTTATTTTCTTCCACATGAGGTGCGGAGGTGCTCGAAAGTGACCCAAATGGCAGCCATCTGCTGACAAAGCTGGATTCATCGCGAGATAGTTACTT